AAGCGAGAAATGGAGAAGAAGGGACTGTGGTGTGGCCATCCACCATGAAGGGTGCTTTCTCACTTGCTTTCTCACTTTCTCTCTCTCTTGCTCTCTAGCAAAAATAATAATAATAATAATAATAATTTAAAAAGAAAAGAAAAAGGAAGAAGTGAAGCAGTTTCACTCTAGACTCTAGAATTTCCTACAAAGTTTAAATGAATCTCACTGGAGTTCTTGGTGAAATTCAAAAACTCATCCTCAGCTGGGACCAGCAGTTGGCATAATGCCTATGTCACTGGACTCCCATGTAGTCGGCCGCAGTTCGAATCCTGGACCCAGTGGCTTAAACTCATGCCGGGCTCGTGTGTGTGCGTGCCCAAGATCCCGAGAGGAGAATGGAGGAGAAGGGATTGCGTGGTCATCCCCCCTGGAGGGTGATTTCTTGCTTTCTGTCTCTCTGTTTCTCTCTGTCTTTCTGGCAAGTGCACATGCCCTATAGCAAAAAAAAAAAAAAAAAAAAGAACACTCACTCTCAACACCTGCTACTCTCTCCCTCTCTAGAATCTAGCAATAACCAGGTAAAGAGGCCAAGAGTGACAAACAGTAAGCATCGTCTGAACACTACTCTGTGTCGAGTGTTTTAGACTCCTCTGTTTAACCCTGCTAGTACCACTCCCAGACTCAGGAAAGGAGAACGTGGGGAGTGAGCATGAGAGGAAGGGGAAGGAGGGAAGGAAGCTTCGTCAGTCACTTAATACCTGCCAGCTGTTTGCATCTATGCATGTCCTTTCATTCTTCCAGCATCGTGGTTGAAGTAATCAAGGCCCAGGAGGGTAGGGAACTTGCCCAAAGTCACACAGCTAGGCTGCTGCAGAAGCACACCTGACTCCCGAGTCTAGCTCGCCCAACCTCCACAATTTACGATCCCTGGGAGTGTTCCCAGTGCTCCCCACAGCTTTTGATGCTCTGGTGCCCTCATCTTCTCCCCAACGTGCAAACACCTGCAAACTCACAGGCACGCATACAACACACACGCTTCTAGATTCTGGGTGGGGAGAGAGTTGGAGGGTGAGTTTTTGATTTGTATCTGATGCTCAGGGTGGCTTACCTGGATCATGGCCCCCACAATCTTCCGGGCTTCCTGGTACAACCTGTCTCCATTCCAGCGGGGATTCAGGCGCTTAAGCTGTGTGGCCAGCCGGTTGTGTTCTCGCACAAAGAGGGTGTGCATGGAGGTGAGCTCGGGCATCTCACTGGAGCGAGTGTCCCCTTAAAGAAGGAAGTGTCACTGTCATGCCTAGGACCTCCATTTCCTAAAGGTTTGCTCCACTGAAACTCCGTCCCCAGTCAAAGCCTAGCATGCCCCCTCTTCCTCTTCCTCTTGACCACACCCTCTAGGAGGCCTCCTCATGCCCGTCTGCCACACTAGCTACTTCCTTGCTTAGGGGCACTGCAGCTAAGAAATGCTCATTCAGCGGGCACCAGACCTGACACATGACTTGCCACCTTCCTGTACCTGAATCTGGAAGCTCCTTGGGAACAAGGACCGTGGCTTATGCCGACACAGACACAGGGGAACTTATCACAGTGTCTGGTACACTGTATGAGATCCATTAACACTGCTTGGTTAACTAATTCTCTAGATTCAGAGAAATCAAAAAATAGCACACTTGCACAACCTACTTCCGTGCCCATGTCAGACCCGGCTATGATCTCGGCAGTCTTCCCTGCTGAAATTGGGTGCAGCCTCAGAATCCTTCTCAACACAGAACACAATTGTCCGCCCCTCCCTTACCATATGCCAATCGTGCAGCTTGCCCCCAGGGAGGGGACTAGGGCACAGGATATGTACAGTCCACATCTGATTCTTTGTTCAAGAAGACTAAGCAAGAAACTTCCGATTCCTCTTTGGGAGGAAGATGAATTCCTCCCCCAACCCTTCTTTGGAGGGGCCAGGGGGTTGGGGTGAGGGCCATTTCGGTAGGACAGTAGGTTCAGTCCTTGCCAACTCAGAAAAGACATTTTCTGAGAGCAGCTTCTCCATCTCATGAGCAGTCAGAGGTGTTGATGATCCAGGCTTAAGACATGTGGTTCATTGACACCAGGCCAGAGGCAGCCATGTCTGGCTGAGGAGCAAGGGCAACACTTCCTAGGCATGCTGGTGCTGACCTTGGAGCGCCCCAGGGAGTCCACACTGGTGCTGAGCTGTGAGCTGATTCCCCTCACAGGGGCCCCGCCAGGGAGAGAGCACCTGGAGCCACCAGGAGGAAGGGAGGCAGTGGAAATGGCCTCAGGCACACTACTGGGTTCTCATGAAAAAATACTGGGACCAGTCAATGATGTAATGGTTACATTGCTGGACTCCCACTGGACTGCAGTTCGAGTCCTGGATCCAGCGGCTTAAAACTCACACCAGGTGTGTGTGTATGCGGGTGTGTGTGTGCAGGCCCAAAATCCCAAGAGGAGAATGGAGGAGAAGGGATTGTGGCATGGCCATCCCCCTGGGAGATGACTTCTCACTTTCTGTCTCTCTGTCTCTCCAGTGAGCACACATGGCCTAGAGTGAAAAATCTCCTTAAGGGGGCCAGCAGGTGGTGTGGTGGTTAAGGGCGCTGGACTCCCACATGGCTGACCATAGTTTGAGTCCTGGACCTGGCGATTTGCCTTCTCTCTCATTCGCGCTCTCTCTCACTCTCTCTCTCTCACTCTGTCCCTGGGCAGAGTTAAATTAAAATAAATAAATAAAGTAAAATAAAATAATTCTTTTTTAAAAAAATCTCCTTAAGGAAAAAGAAAAAAGAAAAAGCACTGGAAAATGTGTTGCCATGGCTAACATCACTCCCTGACCACATCCCCCAAACTACAGTTGTTTACATTTATTCCCCCCTTATTAGTAAGTGATTGGGATGGGCAGGAGGGCCTATCCTGCCACTGTGCTGTCCAGCAGAACTTGCTGAAATGATGAAAGTGTTTTCCATCTGCTCTGCCCACAGGGCAGCCACTGGCCCATGAGGCTACTGAGTACTTGAAATGTGGCTAGCACAGCTGAGAAACTGATTTCTTAATTTCACTTAAAATGATTAAAATTTAAATAGTCACCTGTGGCTAATGACTACCATACGGACAGTGTGATCCTGCAGAGTAAGGGGGCCCCATTGCTCTCTGTTCCTTTGGCTCCCTGTTCCTGAGGGACTCCACTCGCCTCTCTTCCAGAATAGAGGGGAAAAGAAAGACAGAGAAAGCAATGGACAGATGGACAGAGGCTCCTCTGCCACCCTTGTGTCTCCATCTGAGGTTTCGGGGACAGAGTTGTTTTTTGCTTTTCCATCTCCATCCAATGAGTCACCAAGGCAACTGGATTCACATCGTGAAGTTGGTGAGGAGTCTCTCTAAATACACACCTACAGCTGCTCACAAACGGCTCGCTGTGGCTCCAGCAGGGAACACCTCCTGAGCCCCCACCCTCAGGTCCCACCCCAGTCCTGACCTGCCAGGAAGCAGGGGATACGTGCAGAGCGGTTGGTGAGGAGGCAGGGATCATCGTGCAGGTTGTCGAAGGGCATCAAGGCCCGGCCGTTGTCTTGGAAGCGGGTGTTGACTGCCAGCAGCCCCAGCTGGTTGGTTTGGTTACGCAGCTTTAGGGCCAAGGGGTCCTCGCTGCCGTACACCATGCTGGCGTCCAGGAAGGAGGTGAGCGCGTTGATCTGGTTGCGAATGGTGATGTTGCTGCCAGTGCAGGCTGGGCAGGAGCGGAAGAAGGGGATGCAGTCACGTTGGTTCTTGATACGGGGGTCGTTGGGTGGGATCTGCAGCATAGAGAGAAGTTAGACAGCTCTCCACGGGCAGAGGCAGGGAGGGCAGGAGTAGTTGTCCCCTACCCTTAAGACTCCCGGCCCCATCAACCTGCAGAGAGGCCTCTCAGGGCCCATTGGGAACATGGCCTGGGGTTCTACCAGCACTGTGCCTCTGAGGCTCAAAGGTGACCACCGACATGCTGAACTGGGCCAGCGGTGGCTCTCTGGGGGCGGCAAGGCCAGTTTTCTGACACTCCCCTCCCTGTAAAATTCCTGTCTCTTCTCCTTTTCTGTGCCTGTTCCTCTCCTGGTCTTCTCTAGATGTGGTCTTTGTACTCTCACTCTGCCTTCTCCTCCTTTTCCTGTCTCTCTCTTCCGTCCCTTTCCTGTCTGTCATTCTGGCCCTGTCATTCTCCACTCCTGCTCTGCTCCCAATCCACACCCCCGACCTTTGGGACTCCGAGCTCTCTGGCTCTGTGTAATGTGGGTGGGCGGAGGCCCCGTAGGTGGGGAATGGACAGAACTGAACAGGGGCATCTGCACATCAAGGTCCTATGGACCCTGGGTAGGTCCTCACCCCAGCACTCTCTCCCAGCCTCACAGGCAGCCACTCCCCAGCAGCAGCCCTGTCAGCCAGGGTACGGGCCTGGGAGAGGCAGCGAACAAACAGGACGGGTGGCTGGCAGCTGACTGGCGGCTGGCTCTGAAGAGTGACAGGCCAGAACCTGGACAGGCATCAACCCTGGACTCCAGGAGTGGGGCTGCTTAGGAAGCCTGGGCACAGAGGAAGGCGCCCGCTTCCAGGACCTCTCCCCCATCCCTACCATCCGCAGCGGTGGCTGTGGGGGGG